GAACAGAGTCTGGCCCCACCACCTGACACCCACCCTGCAGATATTTAGAGGCATTTCTAAGGTTCCCTCTCAGCCTTCTCTTCTCCAGGCTGAACAAGCCCAGCTCCCTCAGCCTCTCCTCGTAATGAAGCAGTGGGGATCAGCAAACCAACACAGACACCGCTGTGTCCATAGTGAGCTCTTCCTCGCTCAGCCCCAGCCAAGGGGGACCAGGCTGGGGAGCAGCGCACCCAGCTCGTGCCAGCCCCGGGGGCCGGCTGCCTTTGGGGCACTCACCACGGCAGGCTCCTTGGCTAGTGACATAGAGATCCTGGCGTTTCTCACACCGTGTCTTCTTCAGCTCACACTCGTTGGCGTAGGTCACACCATCAGAGCCACAAACCTGCCAGGACAGGGAGGGAAGCTGCTCAGGGCAATCCCCGGCACGGGAAGGCAGGTTCCCTATCCATGGGATGCCCTCTCCTGCCCAGCAACCATGCGGGAAGGGACCCGGGGAAAAGAGAGGAGGGGAGCGAGGACAGGCAGCCCAGAGCTGCTCGGCGTGCTTACCGGGTTGCGTGGCACTGCCAGGCAGGTGAAGTCACACACACAGCGGTCATCCTCTGCATCCTCGTCCCACCAGCCCCCGTACCGCCGGCACCGGTCCTGCTCACACTCGCTACCGTCGCCGGAGCCCGAGCCCCCCGAGCCGCACTCTGGAGCGAAGGAGGGCCACGGTGAGAAAGGGCTCCCTCCCAGCAGGGCAGAGATAGGGGAAAGCAGAAGCGATGGGGTTTGGCCCATCTCCCCGACATGCGGCTCAGCACCGGCCCATCCAAATCACAGCAGATGTAACCCCTTGAGCCCAGGCACCCCAGAATCCTGGACCCACATATATCAGGATGCTTATGCCTGGATCTCAGAGAAGATCCCTCTCCCTTGGAGAACACAGATTCTCCCACTGCTGTCACGAGGCTGCGGTGAGCCTACATAATGAAAACTGCAGAGGGATGCTTTAGCAGGTGGCCCGAGGTCATCTTCTCTGCAGCATCACCGCAGGAGCCAAGGCAAGGATCCTGCGGCCACCAGCACCCTGCTGGCTCCCTGGAGATCAGACAGCCAAGAGCCACGCGCAGGAGGAAGGGCTGCCGCTCGACTTCGTGACAGCTCAGCTCCGTGCTTTGATCCGACTCCTTCCCCTTCTCCTGCCCTTCCAAACTCACCGTGCGGCAGGGAGACTGCTGCTGCTCATATCAACATGGAAACCAGAGCAGAGGAAGGGATGGGCTTTGGGTTTGGTCTGAAGTTCGGCTAGGCAGATATTTTTAATGACATATAAACTCTGTCCCTAGCCTGGCTGCCTCTCTGTAAGATGGCTCAGCGCTCCAGCAGCAAGAGAGAGACGGTGCCGATTTCAAAGGTTTCTTAAGGGGGAGGAAGGAAAACCTAGCCCTTTTTACTGAGTGATCAAAGGCTGGGATTTGGCATTACACAGAGAATTATTTAAGATCTTTTCCCAGAGGGACATCAACCTGAAACTCCCCAAGGAGGGCTGTGATCAAACGCCATGTTCTGTCTTCCCCTCTCCCGAAGCTCTGCCACAGCACTGAAGTCCTTCCCAGACTGACTACACGTGCAACGAGCCGGAGGATCTCAGCTCGCCCGCTCAGCAGATCGGAGCAGCGAGGTTCACGTGCCTCCCGTATTCGGATTCAGCCAGCACTAACCCACAGCTTTCCCCCTGCAGTGGGAAAACTCAGCAGGATTTTAGTCCTTAGCCTGGCCAAGCAATGTGCAGCCTTCCCAGGCGCTCGGTACCGAGCTCACAGTGGCCACAGGTCCGGACCTCGAGCAGACACGGGGCAGAGGGAAGCAAAGTGGCAGGCAGGGCCCCCGCCCCAGGGAACCC